GTATTTACCCTTCCCATCCCCCGGGTATTTACCCTTCGCCCCCCCCGGGTATTTACCCCCATCCCCCGGGTATTTACCCTTCCCATCCCCCGGGTATTTACCCCCATCCCCCGGGTATTTACCCCCATCCCCCGGGTATTTACCCTCCAGCGGCTCCAGAGCGGACCCGAAATAAACAAAATCCTCATCATCGTCCTCCGCCATCTTGGATATTGCGTCACGGGTCAGAGTTCATTGGGGGTCAAATACAGCCAATCACAGCCAGGGGGCGTGATCACTGGATCACAGTGTGTAACAATGTTGGGGGGGGATCACTGAGTGTGACATGAGGGATCACATGGAGGTGATAATGAATAGAATAGTCATTTATTGTCACTTGTATTATTTACAAAACAAAGTGTGAAGTGTTTAAGACACAGTACACCACGGTGCAGAGGCATGGATCAGAAAAACAGAAATTAATAATAAAACAAAGTGCATCTTAGTTCAATTCCCGGCTCCTGGGTTACCACTGCAAGGCCACTGGAATCCCGGGCCAGAAACTGCCACCAAAGCTGTCCCAAGGACCAATCTTGTCACCAGTTCCAGGAAGGAATACGTTACAAGAGCCACTCAAAGAAATCCGGCTTGTTTGATACCGGGCCAAAACCATCTCAATGCCAAAGCCATCACCAACCTCCCACCAATGTAGCTGCCGATACAGGATCCCCATGCTTGGTTCTCTGCCAGCTGCCTCCTCAACATTGTCAAGCTCCAGGCCCTGACACAGACTCCTTTGTACCACATTCCAGCAAAAAAAAAGAAATGGAAGAGAAAATAAGAGCAAAAAGGAAGTGGACAGTGTGGACGAACCCTGGGCCCAGGAGCCTGGATACTGCCTACTCTGCCACACAGGGAGTAATAATAGGGGTAGTCATAATAAAAGGTTGTATACCATATGGGACTGAGCTCCCCTGCCAGACCCCATCGCCTTACCCTAAATATAAGCCAAGTATATAGTTATTATTAAAATTATTAAATTACTTAAATCTCATTGAAACTTTGAAAATACTGAGAGGCCTGGATAGAGTGAACTTGGAGGAGATGTTTCCACTAGTAGGAGAGACTAGGACCTGTTAGCACAGCCTCAGAGTGAACGGACTACCCTTTAGGACTGAGATAAGGACAAATTTCTTTAGCCAGAGGCTGGTTAATCTGTGGAACACATTGCTGCAGAAAGTTGTGGAGGCCAAGTCATTGAGTGTATTTAGGACAGAAATAGTTTCTATCTGTCAGAGATAGCAGCTCAATGGTTAGCACTGCTGTTTCACAGCATCAGAGACCCGGGTTCGATTCCAGCTTCGGGTGGCTGTCTCTGTGGAGTTTACAAGAACTTCCTGTGTCTGTGTGGATTTCCTCCCATGTCCAAAGATGTGCATGTTAGATGGATTGGCCATGCTAAATTGCATTGCAGTGCTCAGGCTAGGTGGGTTAGCTGTGGTAAAAGTGGGGTTAAAGGGTAGAGTGTTGGGTTGAGTCTGGATGGGATGCTGTTTGGAGGTTTGGTTTGCGATTCTATGATTCTTGATTAGTAAAGGGATCAAGGATCATGGGAGAAGCATATCAGCCACGATCAAGTGGCAGAATAGACCTGAATGGCCTAATTCTGCTGCTATGTCTGATGCTCTAAGTTTCCTTTTTGCAAAAAAAAAGCTAGAACTCTTAACTTTCCTTAATGCAGTCTTAACATAGAGAAAAATCTACCCACTATCAACCAATCAGGTCTCTGTTTTATGCTAATGTCCCCAAATATATGTTACTGAAGATGTTGATTTAAAAATGTGTACAGATCTAATTTCCTCGATCTCATCCCATAGGATAGATCCAGCATCCTGGGAACAATCAATTAAATCTGAACTATAGATCTGCCTCTGTGGCAAGGATATCCTTCCTTAGATAAGGAGACCAAAACTATTGACAATAATCCAAGAGCAAACACTGAGGCTCTGTACAACAGCAGCGAGACACCATTACTCCAGGACTTAAATCCTCTTGGAATATTGGCCAGTTACCAATTGCTTCCTAAACCTGCATGCTAGCTTTCAGTGACTTATGAACAGGACCACCCAGCTCCCTTTGCACATTAATACTGCCCAATCCCTTCCTGTTTAACAAATACTCTGCACTTTGTTTCTCTGACCAAAGTGGATGACCTCACACTTCAAAAGAGAATGTAGAAGATAGGAGCAGGAGGAGGCCATTCAGCCCTTCAGTCTGCTCCACCATTCTATATGATCATGGCTGATCATACAACTCTGCACCCTAATCCTGTCCTCCCTCCATATCCTTTGATCCCTTCAGCCACCAGATCTAAATCCACCTTCTCCTTGAAAACTCAATGTTTTAGCCTCAATGTTTTCTGCATTAGTAAATTCCATAGGCTCCTCACTCTCTGGGTGAAGACATTTCTCCTCATCTCAGAAAATCCTTCTCCCTTCAGTCCTTAAAGATTTACTCATTATCCTTAAACTATGACCTTGGACTCCCCCCACCATCGGGAACATCCTTCCTGTATCTAACCTGTCTAGTCCTGTGAGAATTTTATAGGTTTCTATGAGATCCCCCTCATTCTTCTAAACTCCAGTGAATACAACTCGAACCAACTCAATCTCTCCTCCTACGTCAGTCCCTGCCTTCCCAGGAATCAATTTGGTAAACCTTTGCTGCACTCCCTCTATAGCAAGAACATCCTTCCCCAGATAATGAGACCAAATCTAAACACAATATTCCAGGTGTGGCCTCACCAATGCCCTGTACAATTGCAGCAAGACATCCTTGTTCCTGCTCTCGAATCGTTTCCCTATGAGGGCCAACATACAGATTGCTTTCTTTACTGCTTGCTGCGCCTGTTCGCTTACTTTCAGTGACTGGTGCACAAGGACACCCTGGTCTCATTACACATTCCTCACTCTCATTTTGCAGCCAATTGATAATCTGCCTTCTTATTTTTGCTCCCAAAGTAGATGAACTTGCATTAATCCACATAATATTTCATCTGCTATGCTCTTGGCCACTCTAACCAAATAACTCTCCTTGGAGTCTCTTTGCATCCTTCTTACAGCTGAAATGTTATATTTGGTACCCACATCCAAATGGTTGATAAAATTTGTGACCAGTCAGAGCTCAAGAAATGATCCTTGCAGATCCTCAAAGATCAGCCAATAGGGAATCAGAAAGTGTGTATTAACAGAGGGTCTCAATGAGGAATAATAGTGGCTATTAAAGGGAATAGTAAGCGAGGATGATTTGATTTGATTTATTGAAGTCACATGTACCTAAGTACAGTGAGAAGCTTTGTTTGCAAACAGTACAGGCAGATCATAGGGTGTTTAGATAGAGTGAGACATACAGGTTACACTGCACAGGAGATCCACAAAGCAAGATCAACATTATTTGAAGTTAGAGAGTCCATTCATCGGTCTAATAATGGCCAGGAAGAAGCTGTTCTTGAACCTGTTGGTGTGTTCAAGCTTCTGTGTCTTCTGCCCAACAGGAGAGGTTGTAGGAGAACATTATCTGGGTAGGATTGGTCTTTGATGTTGGCCGCCTTTCCACGCTGGAGACATCATACGGGACCATCACTTTGCTCAGGAAAACCAATCTGGTGTCTGCAGCAGTGACAGAGGGAACAGGTGTGTCCAGGCTGTTGGGGCAGGTGACACCACACCACTGGCATTCTGCTCAAACCAAGCATAGAAAGCATTGAGCGCATCAAGGAGGGATGTATTTTTGTCCACTGTCTTGCTCCGCTTCATTTTGTATCCTGTTTGGCTTTGCCACAGGTGGTGAGTATGTATCTGGTTGGTTTGTGCCTCTAACTTGGTCCACTACTGCCTCTTGGCATCTGTAATGGCCTTGCAGAGATCACATCTGGATTTCCTGGGTAGGTTTGGGTTGTCTGACTTGAATACCTCACGCCTAGTCTTCAGTAGGCAGTGGATTTCATGGTTCTCACTGGGGGTAAGAATTGAGGGGGCCCCAGGGTTAATAATGCAGTGTTTCTTGTGGCTGCACATTGTGGCTGAAATTGATTTGCTCTTTCCATGCTCAGTAAAGAAGGTAAGTTTCTGACAGAGAGAAGCCCAGCAAACACACACAGTGCTGCACTCAGAAAGCTCTCCAACACATAGATCAGGCTCCAAGCTCGAACACTCTCTGCTCTTCAGTGGGAAGCCAATCTCTGTGTCAGTGCTGTTTCTAGAGCCAAGATTCTCGGCTTGTAGGATCTTGCTGTGATCACATTGGCTTTGATTTAATTTGATTGATTTATTGTCACATGTACCTAAGTACAGTGAAAAGCTTTGTTAATGAGCAGTACAGGCAGATCATAGGAAGCAAGGACATACAAATCATAGGGTGAAAAAAAACTAAACAGAGACATACAGGGTACATCGCACAGGGCATGTGCTAGGCAAGAGCAACATTAGCAAGATCAGCGTAATTTGAAGTTAGAGAGTCCATTCATCAGTCTAATAATGGCCAGGAAGAAGCTGTTCCTGAACCTGCTGGTGCGTGTCTTCAAGCTTCTGTATCTTTTCCCTGATGGAAGAGGTTGTAGGAGATCATTACCGGGGTGCGATGGGTCTTTGATGTTGACCGCCTTTCCGCGGCAGCGAGCCGTGTAAATAGAGTCCATGGTTGGAAGGTTGGCTTCTGGATGGTCTGGGCTGGGCACACCACCTTCTGTAGTTTCTTACAGTCCTGGGCAGAGCAGTTGCTGTACCAGGCCATTATGCACCAGGACAGTATGTTTTCAATGGTGCGTCTGTAGATGTTGGGTAAGGGGCCTTACGAACATGCCAAAATCCCTGACCCGCCTGAGGAAGAAGACATGTTGTTGTGTCTTCTTGACTGTCACATTTACGTGGGAAATCTAGGACAGGTCGTCGGTCATCGTCACTCCGAAGAACTTGATGCTCTCCACCCTCTCAGTCTCAGTTCCGTTGATGTAGATGGGGGTGTGTCCACCTCCTTTCTTTCTGAAGTCAATGATCAGTTCTTTAGTTTTGCCGCTGTTGAGAGAGAGGTTGTTCTCATTGCACCATGTCACCAAGCCCTCTATCTCTTTACTGCATTCTGCCTCGTTGTTGTTAGATTTCCGTCCTACAATGGTGGTGTCATTAGCAAACTTGTAGATGGCGTTTGTTTGGAATTTAGCTACACAGTCGTGGGTGTACAGGGAGTACAGTAGGGGCTGAGGACACATCCTTGGGGGGGGGG